CAGCAGTGTAAAAAAGGCAGTAAAAATCTGTGTGCTTGCGTTGCCTACACAACGGGGTGTTCAATGCGTTTATAAAACTGTTTATGTTGAAATAAACGTTTTGCTGCGTTTCTTCGGCGCTGAACTCAGCCCATGGCCTTGCTTGTATCCTTTACCAGCGTCCAATCACAAGTGACGAGTACTAGCCAATTACAGCCCAGTAGGGCGGCACGAGCGAATGAGACGAGAAGAAAGCGCTGTGAGTGACAGGAGGCGGGGCTGTGTGGGCACTGCAGCGTTGTGTGTATCAGGGGTGAGTTCAATCTCAAAACGTTTTGCACCGGTTTGCAACGTTTTCAGATTCAACGACATGTTTCCTTGCAACGTTGCGCAATGAGCTTCGAGGTATGGGGCCTTTCTCATTTCCCAAATTTCCACCTCCTCGAGCATTTTAGTCCATCCCACCCAAGATGCGAGCTCGAGGAGTCGAGGAGGAGACGCGAGGAGAGAGGAGTCGAGGAAACACGCATTTAACGAAATGAGATGTCCTTTCCTCTGACCCGTCATTTTAAAGCTACGTCCATTAAATCTGACCTGTTGCATCATCTGTCCACTGTTAGAGCTGTGATCTCTGTCAGAGCAGCAGAGCAGCTTTTGGCACTAAAGGCTACAGATCATTTCTTCACAATCCAGAAACATGTCTGTTAACATTAGAACATGTAGAAACATCTCGAGGTTCCAATAAACATTATCTGTGGAAAACAGTCAGATTACAGCAGCCTGATCATTCACTGTACTACACAGTAGGCCAACCACTTTTTTGCGGTGCGCCTTTTGTCTGTAAACAGGAGATCATTTCAACCCTCGGCTGCTGTCAGTCATTTAAACGTTTCCATCCGTGCAGTAATGTCACAGCAAATATCACGAGACAAAACAGAAAAAACCTGCAGTAATAAACTTGACAGGACAGAGAGAGGAAACAGAATTAAACTTTCAGCTTCTATAATCCTTTTGGTTAAAGGATTTAACTGTGTTATCTGATTCCAACCCTTCCTGATCTTTTCCTTTTTTTGGTATCAGTGTAATAGTTGATTCATTCACGTGTGGGGAAGATCTCCATTATCAAATGCCTGCCAAAACATTTTATTTAAGTAGGGAACCAGAAGATAGCTGATCTTTTAGATCCATTTCTAAACCCATCCGGCCCTGGGGTTTGTCCATTTTTCAAAGATTTCATTGTTTCTGTAATTTCCCCACGTTATCTCTGCTCCCACATGCTCAGTTTTGTCTTAAAAGGGTAGGAGATCTGCTTAGTGTTGTTACAAGTTAAGGTATTTTGCTCTTTAAGATGATGTCCTTGGTTAAGCAAAATAAATTGACTTACCCTAAAATAAATATGACATTTTTCCCTCAGGATGAAGCGCCAAACCTCTTTGGTTGATTCGATGTAAGTTCTTTTACTCAAAGGATGATTTTCTGCTTATGTTAACAATTTTCAAAAAAGTTCTCGCTAAGGGGGTTCAACAGAAAATACATCTGCTAACAACCTTTTCTCTGTTTTAAAGGGAGTCTCATCATACTCTCAATGTTGACATCACCAGCCGAACATTTGATAATATGAGCTTCCGCTTTGCTTCCCGCAAAGATGGCATCTCTGCATCAGTGTCTTCTCCGTCCTCCGGTTTCCTGGGATTGCATTTTCAGCGCAGGTCTCCATCACAGTTGTATGGGAAACTGTTCAGTCGCTACCTGGTGAGACACACTCTTCTCTTTATTTGTAGATCATCTACAGATGGATTTATACTCTGAATTACAACTTGACACTGCTATTATTCTAATCAATTTCTTTCCTCAAATTCAGTCTACTCCTGAAAAGGATACTGATGTTTTCACTGGCAAAGCCACACTGAGAAACTCTCAGAAGTTAATCTTACAGACGTCATGGAATTGGGAGTTCCTCCATGATGTGATTGAGGGGACCAAGGACAGGATTCCTGCTATGACCAATGCTCTACTCAAGTTCATTAACAAGTATCACACCGCCCACTTTGGCTTTGATCTCAACCGTGGCGGCACGAAGCTGAAAAACACAGTTTCCAATATCATAGAGAGAGTCTATTATGAGGTTCCTTTGTCTTTCGACACGCTGCAGAATTCAATTGAACACCTCAGCGATCAAGGAAAAGATGTGTACAGGAAGGCTTCAGACGCCTTGATGTCCACGAGTGTGCAGGATGTTATAAACACGTTAGCTCATAAGGCTAGACAAATCTTGAAACAAAGTAAAGAAAAGATTTATATCTTGCTAGATGCAGTTAAAAAGTTCTTGAGTGACACAAAGTATACAGTGCCCGGATCTGAAGAGAAGCTTTCGAGCATGGAGATGTTCCAGCGAGCTCGTCGGACTGTATCAAGAGCCACTGACAGAGCGATCCAAAGGTTTACTAGCCTCATGGAGAAGATTTCTATATACATCAGGGAAATAGAGTTTACCATACCTGGAATTGATGTCGTTGTTAATGGAAATGAGATCATGGATAAAGTCACGTCTTCTACGAGATCTGTATATGATCAGCTAAGACATTCAGTGCACAGGGGGTATGATTTGCTTCTCAAGACAGTTAATGATCTCTTCCAGGTGATTGCTGAAAAAGGTGAGAATTTCTTCAGCTACCTAAAAGATGAAAACATGAAAATATCTTCTCAAGTTGATACTATCCATGCTGAGGTTCTGCAGTCTTTCAAACAGCATGTTCAGGAGGCAAAGAGATGTGTGGCTGAGTATAAAGACTTTACCAAACTGAAGATTCAAGGGGCTTATAATAATTTAAGTAGAGAGCATGTAAATAACAGTACCAAAGAGTTTATCGGTATTTTGCAATCACATCTCTACGGAGGACTCAATGAAAGCGTAAGTCTAATGAAAAGGACATCCCAAAGCACAGCACCATACATTAGAGTGAGCAAGAATAAGATGGACATTGAAATTCCTTTACCCTTCCTTTGGAGGTCTTTCAGTGAATGGCCGACACAGTCCAGGCAGTGAATCATGCCTGTCCTGATAAAGTGGTTTCATTATGGCTGACTGAATTATGTTTAAATGCCCAAAAAAAGTGTTTTAAGGTCTTTTAACTCACATAAAATACAGAAGCTTTTCTTCTGTGAGATTTCTATGAATTTGATGATTTATAAAATTATGACCTACTAATGTTTTGCATGTAAGTTGCTGTTTGATGATGGTGTCCAATTAAACAATACTGAAAACAGATGTTTGTGTTTTTAATACGGTCTCAACATTTACTTAGCAAAGGGAGACATTTGTCTTAAAGAAAGTGGTGACAGGTTTAGTGCCTAACCAAACTGTGACAGTTTCACAACGTTAAACGTGTTTCATACAGACGCTCAAGTGTATGCAGACAAAGCAGCATCTGTATTTGACGGCCTGGGATGAGAACATGTTGCTTCTGCCTAGCTTTACCACAAATCATCGTTAGACCAGTCTCAATGTGCCCCCTAAGCCCTGAACCCTCACAAATTTATATGACGTCACCTGCAAGGGCTCAAAATGCTATAAATAGGAATGAGACAGCACTTTGCGACATAATCATGTTACCTTGATGAAATTGAAATATGTAGCGCACTAAGTGGGTTTTGAACTTTTTATGTTATGTTATTTACTATCTTTGTGGCAAAGGCAGTTAAGGGGCCGACTGCTTGATTTATATGTCTTGCAGGTTCTTGCCCTACAGAGTGGTTATCAATAATCATCATGCCATCATAGAACAAACATCACACAGTTATGGCTATATAAGCCATCAGTGTTAATGTCAGGGTTGGTTGCTCCATCCATGCTTGTTGTTTACTGTTCTTCTTCTTTCTTCTCTTTTGGCGGGTTTTCTGGGATTTTTCTCTCGCTTCCGGGCATCCCTGGTTACTCCCGTGTTTCACATCACAACGCTATGAACTGTGGGCAATTCCCTCAGGCAAAGTCTGCAAAAATGCAGACTTAAGAAAAGGGTGCAAAAAGGGCACAACATGTCTACGAGAGAGCCCTTGCACACTTGACGATTTCACAGTGGGACAGTGGCCTCAAAGTCTGTGAATGTGGACATCAAGATTCATTTTCATTCAGAAAACATTTCAGTTGTTTTAGTATTTCCTGAAAGTATTTCAGAAATGATTGTGTAATTTATAGGCTTTATTTTACACAAAATATTCATGTAATTTGTTATTTGATAATTATTTATGTAATATTAAACACTATGAAGCTCCATCTAATATACATGCAAAATGTCCTCTATTGTATTAGTAGTATTGTAATTACTTTGGGGGTAGTAGTATAAATACTAGTAACATATCTAACACTATATTACATATACATTCAGTATATAATAATATATAAAATACTACTTTTATGACTATTAATATTATATTCATGTGGTTTTCTGTTCTGTGTGGTATTTTGTTATAGTAATGTATATAATGTAGCTTTTTAATTTCACATCTCAAATTTCTTTAATTTATCTTGTTTATTTATTCCTCATATTTATTTATTAATTTCTATATATATTTCAAATAGATCCTTTTCTTCTTTCTTACAACTTAGCCTGTTTCTACTGTAAGATATTAATTTCCTCTCCTTATCTTATCTTTCAATAGTTCTATGTGAAAGAGTAGGCCCACTCCTACAGAAATTATAGAAACACTGACAATGTCCCCAGATCAGGCCAATGGTTTTAACCAAAACCAGATGTAGCCTTAATAACCTCATAGCCACAACGTATAAAAGCAGCAGCAGTGATTTTAACAACAACAAAAATACCAGTAAATGATTATTGTTTATTGATCGGATCCAGAAGGGTATTAACAGTCAGTAATGATATGCTGTATATTGCAGTGGCTGAAGTCACTATGCAGTGTGTAGGTTCCTGCTTATATATCAGCTACTGTATATGTTCTTATATGCCCTTTCCTTCACTTAGCAGTAAGGCAGCTGTAAATTAAACTGCTCTTTAACGAAAAGATGACAAGTATTGTGGGACGGCCGCTGAGCTGACCAATCAAAATCCAGCAGTGTGCGAAGCAGGAAGTCCTCACACTGGGCAAACAGGAGACACAAATCAATAGTGAACATATCATCTTAATCTTGATGCCGTTATTAAGAGGTAAAATATATTTTGGTATACATTGTACTTGTCAGATAGCGGCTATCTGAACCAGCTACGAGTAGTCAAGCTAATGTCACTCAGTATCTTGTCATTTGAGATAGTGTAAGCTATTGTCAATGCTAGAGCGTCTCACACCAAACTACATTTAACGTCTGTCAATTAAAAACAGATTCATATTGGTAGTGGTGCTTACGTCATTAAAAACGCTCAATTAAAATTCGTTTATTACAATAAGCAGACATTCTTTCATTCGGCACCAACAAATTAGCAATAATTCAACCAGTTCAATTAAAATGGCAACTTGTAGTTACATTTATGTTAACTTTACAGCCTATTTGATCGCCTTCTCACTGTGTTCTTTTTTTTACTTGAAATATGTGTATGCTATACTGGTGGAATGTTTGTTTTTAAATTATTTGTATTATAGTTTGAGAGAAGCTATTCTTTGAATATGACTCAGCACAAACGCACCACATGCACGACTCGCCTTTTAACCTTTGACGTGGATGAAAAGCATCACCTTTGGACCTTTTGTCGGGTCCTCAGTAGCTTCCACAAAAGCGGTTGCTGACATAACATCATTTTGGCCCAGTCCAAAATCACAGATCATAACTTAAACAGTGCACAGAGGTTGTCATGCAAAGCAGTTAATAACCCAAACAAAACATCATAGTGGGTGGCATTATTCCTATTATGTGGTTTCCCTCATTTCTTAGTTTGTTTCAGTCTGAGTAATGTTTTGAATAGATATTTGCTTCTGATATATCAGAATCATATATAGGCCTATGTACAAACTTTTAAATCAGTCGCTCTCCCCTTCCACACTCACTGCGCTTAAACACAACATGCATCTGTCTTCTCTGTCTTTTAACTGCAGCTCTGCATCGCGATGTAACATTGTGTATTATATATAATACTAACTATTAATAATTAAGTTTTTAATTTTGAAAAAAATTTACAAAGGAAAGTTTTCAATTCAGGTTTGTATTTCATGAAACAATTTGTAGTTATTACACTACTACACCGCCATTACATTTTTCCTGTCGTGCTCAACCTAAAGGCAGCTCGTGCGCCACACTTTGGGAATCGCTGCTTTACAGAAGGGTCTGCTTTTCAGCTAGCTTGGTTAGTTTTTCCATAAATGTGTACAGAGCAATTTCTGGATCATTTTCCATACACACACCTGACCACTGGTCGTCTTTAACCTCCTTCACAAACATGTCTTGATTAAAGCTCCTAAAAGACCGGCAGAGATAGACCTTTCTTCCAGGCATAGGTGTCTTGATGGTCCTTGTAAAGGCAACTGAGTTGTAACCTCTGCAACCTGTGGCTAAAGATTCAAAAAGATACTCAATGGAACATAAAATGATAATATTGTAATTGTTCTTCATATGTTATCCCTCTTTTCCTGAAAGTTAATCAGATGGACAACATGGTAACAGACAGGAGGGATGAACCACAGACAGACTTTATGTACTGCTGTGGAGCCATCACGGAGGTTCTTAAATTTGGCTCTTGTCAGCTACACTCCGGGCACAAGGTGCTTTTTCTCATCATTCCAGGTGAGTTGGGCTAATATTCTATATTCAAAAATCTGCACCACTCAAATACAATATCAGTCTTCTAGAGGGAGCCCTGTGTTAAAACCTTTATTATTGTTGTTTATACAGTGCTTGCATGGTGCATATTTCTAAATAATATCACAACAAACTAATGCACAGAAGCCCTGGTGCTAGATAGAATTATTACAGCATAGGAGTACTGATGTGCACACAATCAATACACAGAGAGTGGTTGATAGGAGTAGGTAGGGGCCAGACAACGAAATTTGACCCTCTGATACTTAACAGGTTAATCTGACCATGACTGTATCAGTTGGTATGGTCAATAGCAGTTTGCAGCAGTTCAACTTATTTTCTTTTTAGGCAGAGATATTTTAAAAGTTAGTCCTAGATCACACTCTTCTCTGTCGTAACGGAATTTATATAACAACCAATCATAAGTAGTTAGATACACATGTACACTGTTATTAATGTAACTGTTACCATTCAACCACAGTTAATGTTGAATTTCACTTTATCATGTTAACATACTGATTCAATATTCCGGGGATATAACAGGGAGGAGGGATTTTTGAAAGGTATCATGAAAGCTTGACAATTTGAGAAACAAGCTTGCTGGCAGATCATTGGTTTAAATAATCAGGTTTTTTGAAAAATCCAGGCATTGAAAGTGGAAGTCCACTTCCCCCCCGCTTTTTGTTATATGGGGAAATGCGCTCATTTGTTGTTGTCTTCCTTACAGGTAACCCAGGTGTGGTGGGCTTCTACAGAACCTTCATGCACACACTTCACAGTATGTTTGGACACCGCCACCCAGTGTGGGCTGTAAGTCATGCTGGCCACTGTGTCCCACCAGACTCCATGGACATGGTAGACGGTACAGATTCTTCTCTGGTTCTGTTCACTTCAGGGTTACCACGCTGACTTAGTTACTAATTATGCCAGTTGAAATAGGAATGTTTATCACACCTAACATATTTGAAAATCGGGAGTTAATGAGTAAGTTAGTCAGGCTAGTTGAACATGGACACCAAAGAAAATCTTGAAAACAAGGTCATCTGATACTGTGCATTGTATATATTATCCAGAACATAGAGGGAAAGGTGTAATGTAAATGGACTTGGGGGGGGGGGGGACATCTGGAGGACATCCACATCCAGCCAATAAGAGCAGGCAGCTACTTTTTCACCGCAGAACACTAAACTCACCTCCAGCTCTCTCTGTTGCTCAGACAGTCCCTGCTACCTGCATGAGCTAATCTATTTTTTCACCCAGATTCTTTGTCTTTATAATTTTATAATCTTTATAATAACAAACAACAGCTGTTTCATGTGTAGGTTCGCATCATTTCCCGTTTCACATTTCATGTGTTTTCTTGACAAAATGTGGTTTGGAGACCGGCCGTTGGGTGACGGAGCCGCGGTCAGTTCGTGTAGTGTGTGACCCCCTGTCACCGATCAGTCATGTAGTGTGAACGCCACGACTTCAAGACTCCCGTCACAAGACGGCAAGTCATGTAGTCTGAACAGCACGGCGATCTGCCGACGCTGTAAGGTGTCTAGCCTGCACGAGCCTTTACAGAACTCCCTATCAATGACAGAAAGCCTTCTGACACAAATGGTAAGAATTCTAAAAGCATAGCATTGCTAACTGCTTTCACATCTACATTGCACAAGACAAAGCAGAACCTGGCACAGGCAGATTTCATACATCCCGGTAATGCTTGCCCATAGCTCATTTAACAGGACATTCAGCTTTTCAGCCTCTTTTTCCTTAAATAATTACACTTTGGCATCAGAATGTTCTGTTCTGACCTAACCGTCCAGTCCAGTCATCTGGCCCCTTTTCCCGAATGCACCTTAACACCAGTATCACAGGCAAAGGACTCAAAAGCAACTTTATGTGTCAAACCATTATGTCTGAAAGTGCAGCAGCCTCAGCACAAGTGACTTTACGTTAATAAATGTAGGTGGCAACATTGCTCGGCAGATAATTTTAAAATGATCCAAAACCATTAAATTGGACAAATTGTCAAATGTTTTATTTTCAAGAGCCGTACACCACCGGCTAAAATGAGTTACCAACTCCCTCGCAGCACCAGTGTTCACAAATTCACAAAACAAGGCCCACAGCCTACTAATCTACAACCGATTTCCGCAGTCACGCCAACACTGCAGACTGGAGCCTAGAGCTGACCCTGAATAGTCAAAGATTTGATGCTTTGATGGTCGGAGCCTCATTCGACTGTCAGTCTCACAGTCAAAGCTTCGCAGCGAAACAAGGATTATGCCATTTTGGCGATATGGGGGTGCTCAACGTCTGATTTTACATAGAACTACCAGTTTTCTCCCAATAAGTTAATATACAGCCTATTACAAGTTACATTTCAATGTTTAATGCTGTAAATAAACATGTAAATAGAAAAAAACTTCCAATAAATGTTTTTAAAGTAAATAAATCCAAAATTGTCTTCAAAAAGCCTCAGTTTAGCTGGAAATTTAAGTTAAAATTTTTTATTTTTTTTATACAAATACCTACACAGAAGCCGAGGACGATGTGTTTGGTCTGAACGGGCAGATTGAACACAAGCTGGCCTTCCTCAGGAAACATGTTCCCAGAGAGACCAGCCTGGTCCTGGTGGGACACTCCATCGGCTGCTACATTATTCTGGAGATGATGAAGAGAAATCCTGAACTCAAGGTTAGTTGCTGTATGTCTCTTTCTTTTTGGGGAAACCCATTGTTTCACATTGTGACAACAATTAAACATTTAACCTCCAAAAGCACCCAGCAGATTAAAAGACATGACTCCCTTTTTAGATTCATTTTCCAAAATCCTTAGCTCAGTGGCAATATTTTACCTCCTGATTAACCTCCAGGTCTGATGTCCTGTTAATCCAAGACATGCTGAAAAGTGTAACCTCTTTATTTTTGATTACAGATTATAAAGGCCGTCATGCTGTTTCCCACCATTGAGCGCATGGCTCAGACTCCTCAGGGGAAGGTCATGACTCCTGTTCTGTGTCACATGCGTTATGTGGCCTACCTGCCTCTCTTCCTGCTCTCGCTCCTGCCTGAGGGACTGAAAGCCGGCCTTATCAAACTGGTGTTTGGTGGCATCCCCTCCCTGGACCACACTGTGGTCCAACCTACTGTAGGTCTTCTCAGTGGAGACTGTGCAGGTTAGTTGTGCTTTGTTCTTTACTCCTCATGCATATAATGTTCACTTTTTTAAGAACGTTTTATAGTGATATTTAATCCACAGTTGGTGCAATCTTATTGTGCCAGTAAGCCGTTTTTCAGACGGCTTGTATTCCAAGCATGTAATGCTCACTCAATGCACACTACTGAGAAGTCAATTCCTTTTACACAGTTGTAGAATGTGCAGTGTGGTGTTTGTGGTGTGGTTCAGTGGTCCAAAATGTTTAAAGGAGAGGTGAAGCGACAGGAGAGGAGCTAGATTCACAAAGACAAATCCAAATGTATGTATATATATGTATATGTGTCTGTCTGTCTATATATGTGTGTGTGTGTGTGTGTGTGTATATATATATATTAGGGCTGGGCACGTTAACACGTTATTATTGCGTTAACGCATTAATTCTTTAACGCCGACAATTATTTTATCACATGTTAACGCAGTTTTTATTTTATTATTATTAGTTTGAAAGTCCCTTGCTCACTGGCTCTGAATACACATCCAGTCAAACCCTGGGTCACAGGAGGGGCGGGATATTGATCAGCCTGCAAATCACTCACCCAAACAAGCAGTGGAGGGAGGCTTCGGCAGACTACGCTGTCATCTTTTTTCCATATTTTTCCACCCGCAATCCATTATCGCAGCAGCAGGTGAGCCGCTTGCTTGTTCATTTGAGTTGCTATCAAACAACTCAAACAGCCGAAACCAACATCTGCACCCTGTGTTCAATGCTGCTTTAACGTTACCTGGTCTGTGCTTGTAAAATATCCACCGCCACTTGTAACGTCATTTCAAGTTTTTAACCGAGTGAAGTCTGTGCGAGTGAACACACGCACCGACCCCGCTACTCCACCCCCCCCCATGCCATTGTCCATCCCGATGTTTCAATGTAGTTTTGTAGACATCGTCCCAACCCTACTGAACAGACTGTTTCTGCTGCTCCCTGATAAAAGATACCTGATGCTGATACCTGTTCAGAAAAAAACAAACTAATGGTTACTTGTTTTAACAAGCTAGATAAAAGGTAATGTCCTTTAATATTTGATTTGATTACATTAATGTTTAAGTTGAGATTTATAAGAAATATTGTGTAATACTGTGTAAAGGGAATACTGCTGGTAAAAAGCACTTTATTTGTTTAAAGTGTTAAAAAAGTGTTTACACTTTTGTGTATATAGCATTACATTTAAATTAAAGTTGCGCAATACACTACTTCAAAATTATTCAATTTTACGCATAACAATGCGATTAATCACGATTAATCGCAAGAAAATCATGCGATTAATCGCGAAATTTTAATCGTTGCCCAGCACTAATATACTATATATATATATATATATATGTGTGTGTGTGTGTGTGTGTGTGTGTGTATACATGTACATAATCAACCTCTGTCAACATGTCTCCTATTATTTGCAGGATCCTCCATGAAATGCATATATAATAAGGAGAGAGACAGAACTTGCAAACACAAATGACACACAAACTGTGTCTCCAGCCCACTGCGTCTGTATCTCTGAAATAAAGTAATGACTACACTAGTGTAATTTTATTTCTTTTTTTTTAGCCAATGCTATGTACATGGGCGGTCAGGAAATGAGAAAAGTTCTGGAAAGAGACAACATAACGATAAAGAAACATCTTGAAAAGGTAAGAAAGACCTTCCTACATGATTGCCTTATAAAAATTTACTGTACCTAATACTACTGGTCAATATTTGATAACATAAAGACAGTAAGCTTGCTTGAATGATCAGTTAAGGCTTTACTTGTGACATGTTCTTTTTAGCTGTTATTCTGTGTTAAATCTAGACAGGACAGTAAACTAACTATTTTTGCGTTTTCATTTTCAGCTTATATTTTATTATGGAGCTACAGACCACTGGTGCCCTGTTCAGTATTATCATGAAATTAAGGAGGACTTCCCATGTGGGGATTTCAGACTGTGTGAAAACGGGTTCCGCCATGCCTTTGTCCTGGATGCAGGAACAGAAGTTGCCAAAATGGTGGCCGAATGGATCAGTGGAGAACTGAGGACATGAGTTCATTCTTCTCTTGCCATCTGTCTGACATGAACGCTGACTTTTAGCGTTCAGACGATATCATGGAATTGAATTGAGAAGAAATATCAAATATTAATTATTATTATTTATTTTTATTAATTAAATATAAATACAATGTGTTTATTGATTAAAATGGCATTCTTTGCATAAGCACAACAAAAACCCAAATGTGACATGAAAAATGATGATAATGTGGTTTTATTCATTTATAAAACTGCTTTTGTTACAGAAATGATCCAAAATCTATTTAAATGAAAACATATATTTTAGTAAAACCCTGAACAGAGTGCTGTCTCCAAAGATGAAATAGAAAAACCCTCAAAGGCACTACTGTAGCACTTCTCATGTTAGTACCTGACAAGTGGGATTATTTAAATTCTATTATGTTGCCATTTTGCACTGATGCCAATTTTTTCCTCACATATACAATAATGTGTACATTTGGATTTAAGTATTCCCATGTATGATGACTTGAACAGCATACTGTATATAATGGGGGAAATACATGCCTTATTTTTCATCTATTGTATTTTTCATTGCCTGCCCTCTGATGCGACTGTGCTGTCAAACATCACAGCTGTCATGATGATTTCCTATTCTATTCTTACTGTCAATGTAGAAAGTCTGGACGATGGATGGTACTGTGAACCTGCTGCCCAGACCATGGTGGTCCGAATCTACCATCAGACATTATGGATCTCCTTGGTCTTGCTCTTCCTCCTCCTTTTACTCTCCACTCCACTCCTATGTTGGCAACTGTTGCTCCAAAACAAAAGAGCTCACCTGTGGCCCTTTTACAGTTTTGCTATGGCTCTGATAGCCTATTAAACAAATGTGCAGCATGTGTTTGCCCATGTGAGGGGTCAGAGTGGACGGCAATGAATTTTAAGTTTAGCATTGTGAATGGCAAATTTTTGATTCATTAATATTGTGCCAGATGTAGAGATTTGTGTGTAGTGGTTTGAACAAAGTGTGGTTTAGTGTTAAGCAGGACATTATGACAAGAGGTTTACAACCTCCTGTCATCATTTGTTCAGCAAATCACATTGTATTATATATATTTACATATTTATTGAGATACTGTAAATTGTGTGACCTATGGGTAGCCTTCTTAAGTAATCTTAAATGTTTTCTCTGTAACACTCATGAACATGCCAGAGTTAAAGTTTTGAAAACAACATTTTAGGTAGTCTCTATTAACTGGAAAACTCTGCTACTCTGTCTCATGCATTGAGTCAGATGGCAGCCTCTGCTCCCAATGGTGGGGAAAATGATGAGATGCACTGCCGAAAATTACTTGGATATAAAGATGAGGGCTATATTAAACAAACCTGGGTAGAACGCCAATGCTGCAAAGATACCTGTTCAAACAAGGGGAGAAGCAGAACGTCATATTACCCTAACTCTACCTAAAGATTGGATCCGAATGAAATGATTGGCTGGGCTTATGACAGACCTATGCCACAGATACCGGATTTTTTTCTTTTTTGTGTCAGCATTTGATTTATTGAGCCTACCTCAGCTTTAAAGGTAATTCTGAAGAAATCCAACACCAGGACAAAAACCATGATCTAGAGCGAACAACACAGCAAGTAATGTAACTAACGTTAGCTAATTTGTGGGTTAGCAAACTGCTAACATCACAACAGCAGCATGTCTTGGTGAACTAGAAAGTAAGCGGAATATCTTTGGGCGGAAAGAAATATGAGTCAGAGCTGGAGAGAGGAGTTTGTTGTGTTGTGGTAATATTAGGAAATAAAAGTCTTGCTGGCAGTTCCTCTACGTACAGAAAAACTCTTCTCCCTTGTTTCTACCGGTGTTTCCTGAAACAATTCGCCTCATGAGATTTCAGAGCGACAATTGTCCTTGAGCAAGACTTCAGTTTCTTGTTAAAACAAAGGGTGTCCCCAGGAGTCACTTGTTGTCAGGCGCCTTGCCTGGTGGCAAACTTAGAAGCACTTTTTGTGGGCATAATTTTAACTTTTTTTGTGTATGTGTTTTTTGTGTTTCTTCTAGCGAGTGTATCTTACTCTTTAAAATAATGTTTATCTCTGTAGGGATCCTTTTTATAATGTTGCCAGATGCATTTAATATCAATCTGAGCGTGTCAATGGTAAAAACAAGCACTTTAGTGGACGTACTGTGACAGGATACAATTGCTGGTGAGGATTTCGTTGCAGCCTGTTTGCCCAGTTTCGACTACAGCGTGCTAGATTAATAATGGACCAATTTTAAAAATGTTGTCCCAGGTTTGTTGTATCTAAATCTGTTTCATATAATATTTTTGTCTAAGTGCAGTGAATTTATGGGTGTGTTTAGGTTTGTGTGTGGATATCGCCATGCACATACTTGGACTCATCCTAATTTTATACATGCCTTTGTCCCTTTTTTCTTTTGTTCTATACACAAATCACAAATGCACTGAAAATTGTTGTTTATGAAAAATGCTAATAAAAAGTGTTCTGAAAAAAAAAAAAAAGTTGTCCCAGTAAGTCATGTAGACACAAAACCATGAGAAAATAAGATTCAGGTTGAAAAAAAAAACTGAAGGTCCCCTTTTAGTTTCACTTTCAGTTTCAGGCCGAGCTATTACATCGGTGCCATCGGCGGCATCTCTGAACATGTGCCAGTCTGTGCACCTGAATCAGTTCTGCAGAGCTAGTGTGGACAGATGTGCACAGCAGGAGGAATGCAGGAGAAGCAAAGAAATATGGTCTGAAATACCAACATGAGGGTGCATGGCTTTGTAGCTGCCAGAAATGTCTGTGCATGGTCCAGCATTCACAGACATTTTCTGCAGAAATGCATTTGTGTTGTTTTCATTAGTTCTTTGTCAGTTGTGGTGGTCTGGTTTTATTTGTGTTGTATGTGTGGGTGGTTTCAGTTTATGTTTTCTTATGTAACCATGGCTTACAAGCCAAAACATATGAAACTAAAAAGTCCCACAAAATACTAAATGATCTCATAAGCACATTATGAGCCCTTTAATGAATAGATTATCTAGAAAGAGAACTCTAAAATGTATTGTCTTTTTAAAACCATTCAAACAGGTGAGAGATGAAGGCCAATTTATACATCTGCGTCGTGTCTCGCTATGCTTTTTCCAGCTTGTCCTTCTTCGCCGCCATTTTACAAATTCTCTTCTCTCGTTTCTGCATGTTAGTAATTTCACCAAAAGTAACTGCCGTTCAACATCAGTCAGCTCCAACGTTTCAGTCACCATGGTTTGTAGCCTACACCAATGAAGAAAAAGAAAATCCACACAGTAGGCTACTACTCGACACAGAAGTTTAAATTGGCCTTGATTAGGAACGTGACCATACCTCTCACCTCACATTGCCACACAGGAAGCCTTCTCTGAGCAGTCAAAAAGCAGGCTCAGTCTTGATATCTCTTCTTGATGTCATGTGATAAAACACACCTGAGAATAATAATCTTCACCTGCCCCATTTACACCTGGTATAAACGTGTGATCTGTATCTGTATAATGACATCCAATCTATGGCTCTTTGCATTTACACCCGCTATTAAAATAATTTGTTATCTACCGATCACAAAATGTAAATTTGTTAGACAGGCTGGAGGACTTCTCAATAAGCACAGCGCCTCCCAGGTCAAGGAAAGCAGTCCCAAAAACTGAGGCCATTCGTTTATAAATCCCTTTTTGTGAAGAGAGACTAGCAAACAGCTGCTCCTACTTGTAGCTTTTGCCTGGCTAGTCAGCAGGAAGAGTCAGCTGACCTTTCAACTTGCTGGGCGGATTTTTGTCTTAAAAAAGGGGGTCTTGTTGAATGGATTGCCTGACACCTGGCTGAGCGCCTATCACAAAAGCGCGCCTGACCTCCTCCAAATACCTTAAAACCAAAATTGTTACATTAAAGACACTGTTTCATTTCTGCTTCATTCTGCTAGAGTGCACGGTGACAACAATGAATGAAGTGTCACCGCACTACTTACAGATGTACCTATTCACACTTCACATGTGAGAGTTGCAGCAGGTGGTTTGTTTCATGTCTCTACAGTATCATCAGAGTCACAGCTATGTCTCCTCTTCCCATTCCCTCTATCTGCTGCTCCCTCATGGTACCCCACTGTCCGGCCTGCATTGGTCCTCTGGTGAGAAGAGGGTGTTTCTGGAAATCTCTGCCCAGGCCCCAGGACCTGTCTGACAGTCATATTCACTCTGGAGCTCTGGATGTACCTGGAGCATACCGCCCAGTCCTCCTCTGACACTGGCTCCACCACAGTGTTGTCCTGCAGGGCTGAGGCCAGGCTGCAGCTTTCCATCTCTAAAGAGATATGTCCCTGTGGTGCTGGAACAATGCGTGGGACAGCATGGTAAAGGAGGCGGCTCTGTCCCGACATCACCATCATGTCCCCACTGTGCATGTACATAGCAGTGGGGGGGTCCTGTCTGCGGATGCCTCCCAGGAGGAAGATGGCTGACTGCCCAAAACTATCAGAAAAGACAACAAGGTATACAGAGAGGGAGCTGGAATGTTTGTCTGTAATTACCAAGGCAGTGAAGACTTTCCCAACTGACCACTAACTCATACTGGTTGATTTCAATAATGTCCCCTTGCTATATATAAGGCCTAGTTTTATTCATGCATTTTCTTTTATAAGAACTGGTTTGTCAGCTTATGGCATCAGTTTGAATCTGAACACTCACTCAGTGCAGTTACCTTTACTTTCCACAAGTTGGCAGCCAATTCTTTATTCGGTCAACTACCGCGCAAAGATGACTAGGAAGCCCTGTCCTTCAATAAACCAGTTTGCTACCTGTCATAAAGAGCATCAGTAGCATGGCGATCACAAAGCGAAAAGAAGAAGACAGTTTGGAGATATTCCAACGTGTCCTGAGGCAAAGAGGAGAGAAAGCGACTCGCAAATCCTGGTTTTAACTGCCTGAATTGCTGGTACAATAAACAAATATCAGAACTTAGTAACTACACTGGCATTCTAAAGATGTGTTAAAGAATTCCTTCCTCCTTCCTTCCTTACCTTTAAAGGTGCCGTAGAATACTCATTTTCAGATTCATACTTACATTTTGGGATTCTACTAAAAATGTACTTTAATGTTTTCAGTTTTTTCTGTCCGTTTTTCAGGGCTCTTCTGCATGCGTAAGATTTACATATGAAGGAGGAAACAATAGAGACTGAGGCTCACGGTATGTCAGTTCTCTGTACTGAACTCTTTTTTTCCCCCAACTATGCCAAAGAAAATACAGTTTTCCATTCAGCGGCACCTTCAAGAATGTTTTCCCCACTCACCTGAATGACAGCAGCGGTCGGCTGTGATCTAGTTCCGATTCATCCACGTGGATTCCCAGCGATGAATCAGATCGGTAGTAGTTGAGGATTCCAGCCTCTGCGTTGAACCCCCGGAACCCACACGCAGCTGTTATTTGCGAGGACAGCAAGTGGAGATCAGCTGGGAAAGGAGTGTAATGGTTGGCAGAGTAAGTCTGTGAATGGAACAAGGTACAATTGGACCGTTACACAAGTAAAGCTGTAATAGGCTGTGAAACATTAAATAACGTGATGTTTTCCCAATATATACGCAGACGAGATAAAAAGAGGTTCACCAAACCCAGCTGGACTTTTGTTGTTTCACGTTCAGTATTTTAACTCCTTAGCCACTGAGGTGCCCCTGAAAGTCCTACTGTTTCTTAACTTTGTTTAGTGCAGCTACTCCCCTAATGTCCAGCTGGATATACTGTAGGCTATATACATTTAGAAAGGTGTCAGCAATTTTCTGGACATTTTAGTGTTTACAGAGCAATGACTATGTGGCACATCTCATGGATGGCTGCAGATTGCAATGGGCTTTCATTTTCCAAGCGTGTTATGCCACTCAGGACTTTACATCCTCATAAAGAAAACTAAATATTTTAATGTTTGAGAAATGTGAAAGAATTAAAATCTTGTGAGAAACTGCAATGTAGGTATACTGATGAACTGTATCTTCATGATCAGAATATATGTATCAATTAAATCCTACCTAGAGGGTCCCCTAACGAAGCAGGGTGCGCTGCTTACCTTGGTATCCCAGTTGTAATGATATCCCAGAGTGACCCAGCGCAGCCGCTCCAGTAGAGTCTTGGGTCCTCTCTTCCCAGAGGGAGGAAAACTGTGGAGGGGATTAAACACAAAGCACACTTTCAGAGGCAGGCTGCTGGGAACCTGGCACTAAGCATGGAAACTGGATGTGGTCAGAAATGTAAGAGTATTCTATGCAGAGAAATGGTCACAAATGTATATTACATGATCTTTCTGAAATAAAAAACAAGATTTACAAATGCGTTCAACAATTTGTGCATAACTGAGTACTCACGAATGTGTGTTGCAGTGCACACATAGCAAGCAGTTTTAAACAGTTTTACAAATGCACACATCACAAGCTGAGTAGATAATATCTGACATATAGATTTTTAACTTGAACCTTAGAAATCTGACACTTTTTGCTTTTAAAAAGCTTCCTGTGTATAAAAAATTTCTAAACATATATTTGACATTCTTGTATTTATTTACAGTTGCCTGACACGCATGGATCAGGGTACATTTGTGCGTGGAGCAACGACACAGATCCACAAATGCTTGCTGTGTTTATGTGTTGGTGGAAAACTGGGACATCTGGGCTTTCTGTGCATTCATTTGCAATTTCAGAGTGGGAAAGACGTTTTTCTAAATAGACAGAATAGCTTATCAGAACACATACATTTGCCAACTATAGACTATATACAGTAGGCTTATAAATATATAGTTTAAATAAGCTAGTGCCAGGTGGTGGACTTCTGCTGGGAACAGCCAGGCCACTGAATTTGATGAATTGACTGTTCATCAGATCACAAATGAGACAAGAATTAGGTTGGAATAGACGCCAGTGGAATGTTTCTGGGGGCCGGCCTCACTGATTACTGTACAAAAACTTTAGGACATCAGTGTCATGAATGTACTGAGGCTTTGAGCTGGTGAAATGTAAGAAGGTCCAGTCAGTTTTACTTCAGGTTTGTGTGGCTGTTGCTTCACGCAAACTAAATTCCCAGGACGTTTTAAAGTAAGAGGACTAGTATAAGTATACTTATCAGTCCTGAGTTTTCTGTGGTTATTAAGTACACTAAGTGTTACATTTCAGATAAAGCAACATTTTGAAAGGAACAACTAATATTTTGGACATACATGTATTTTAGTTTCCTTTCTACACAAGAAGATACAACATCAATTTTATCTCTGTCTGGTAGATCTGTGATGAGATGAAAGTAGCTTAGCACAACTGGAAGCATGGGGAAACTGCAAGTCTAGCTCGATCAAAAGATATGCCCGAGCTAGGCAAGTAGTTTCTCCCTGCTTTTACCTAAAATGCTTTAAGTCATGACACAACAGCAGTTACCTGGCTCAGGTTTTGGGTCAGACAGATCGACTCAGAATTGTCAGAGGAGAAGAGCACTTGCTAATCTTACCCGAGGCCATGTACACTCTTGTCCCAGATGTCCTGGGTGTCAGAGGGAGACATGTGCATGTCCAGGTTGCAGACATTGGGCTTCTGAGGGTAGGTTTTCAAACACTGTCTGACCCAGAAGGGTTGGGAGCCCAGCAGGAACGGGTTAGAGATGAAGATGAACCCTAAAGAACACACAACGGTACAATACTGGGTCATAGAAACAGAAAGTGAAAAATCTTTAATAAGATGAAACCCGTGTTAAAATGCCAGTTGGCACCTTGCACGGCAGCCACTGGCATGTGAGGTAAAACGCTTTGAGTGGTCGGCAGACTAGAAAAAGCACAATATGAATGAAGACCATTACCAACCGAACACCTATGGGAGATTTTTGGAGTGACGTATTAGCCAGTGCTCTCCACCATAATAATCAAAACACCAAATGGGGGAATATCTTTTGGAAGATATTCATCCCTCAGTAGAATCTACACACTTGGGGAATCTACACCACGGAGCCCTGTTCTGGTGGAACAGCATCTTTCTGACATCCATAGGTGTTTTGCTCCATGTCAGTTTTCTCTCCAAAAAAATGCAGAATTCAGGTTTTGGTCTGATAGTGTGTCGAAATCTTGGTATGTGAGGTTGGTTTAGGTAAAGAGCAGCTCGTCTCCCCGTCTGCCCAGCGTTTACCTGGGTAGCCCTGCAAGCCGTAGACTCTCCAGTCTCTGACAGGCTTTAATCCAACCCTCGCAGCCTCCACATCACTCACTGCAGCAGGGTCCAACTCAGCTGGAACTATCTATCAGTCACACAGACACACAAAGGAACATCAATCATTAGCTGGGCTGAAGCGGCTGATGTAAACATTAAGTATAGGCTATGCAGACTTGCCGACCACAGAAACAGAGACTCTCTAGTTCAAACCAATACAACTGCTCTTTGCCACAAAGTCATCTTTTTACGAAACTTAAAACTCTACAGAGTCTGTGTCAGGGATGTAGATTAATGAATCTGTGGTTTGAGGCTATAGGCTATAGATTGTGCTGGGGTTCCATTATACAACATTTAAAAGGTGAATCTCATCACTTTTTCTACTGCAATTTATAAACTATTGCCCTCTCTCAACTTAGAAACTGAGTATGAATATGGTTACTGGGCTACTTTTACTTAAAGGTTCTGTATGAAATTCTTAACAATAATACAGCAGCAGACAACTACTCAATCACGTGATTCTTGAGAACTGTTCGGTCTTGTTTTCTTGGTCTGACATTTCCTACCTTGTCACTCGGCGCAGCTTTGGAGAAGTCAATAACATCAGTGAAATCTGGCGGAGGGTTTCTCCTCTTGTAAAACTTGAACAGTTTTCTAAATGCATCTTCTCCACTCTCCACCATGGAGGCTGCCATCTTGGCCATGACTTCTTCTTCTTCTTCTTTGAGGTTTAGCGGCAGCTTGGTGTTGCATTACTGCCATCTCCTGGCGAGGTCAATGCTTTTCCTGAGGCTTTGCCAAATCTGATCAAAGGAATGTTACAATATTGACAACATCCGTTAATCTCTTTCATAATAAATACTATTTATTAGAAAATGATGTGATAACAATTTTTTTAGGTCATTAATGACGAAACAATGTTTTCCTCTCTTTGTGAAAAGGAAGATTTTCAAAAGTGGACACCTTCAAAGTTCGATCTAGATTTCAGTTATTTCTGTTGTTTCCTAGAATGAAAGAGGTTCATTTCAAAACAATTAATGATATTTATCCATAATGAATTTTCAAGAGTAACATTTAATTTAGATAGCAATGTATGTACGTTTTCTCAGACTGATAGTGAATCTCAGGAACATCTTTTCTACAGCCGTAATGTTGTTTAAAAAATGTTTGGACAGAATATATGATTGGTTAGGTACAAAGAATGTAATAGCTGTTATTACCATAATGTTACGTTTGGGTGTTTTATGGAAAACAAAGATGTTGAGTTCTTGTGTAACTGAAATTGTATTTTCATTAAAGCAAACTTTTATATTCATAAATGCAGATTTTTTAAAGCTGCCCCAAATTTCTAGTATTTATAAATGATTTGAAGATTTTTTTTTTTTTTCAGTTGTTGAAAAAACTGGAACAGGAGACTCTGACGTAATCGGATGTAACTGACATTTCTGTTCCGGAGCTTTTTCGGCTAAATTACTTTAACAAATTTAAACGATATACATGAACTCGATTAAAAGCAGATCAGCACGCGTATCGAAATTAGACTTAACGTTGCTTTTCAACACATTGTTCCGTAACATAACTGGCCACTCTGCATCACGTGATTTGATGTCATAGGTCAGAGTGGTATACCAAGGGCGAAACATGGCGGCGACGACGACCAAGAAAGTTTTCGAGGTCTTCGTGTCTAAAATACCCTGGACTATAGCCAGCAGTAAGTCCATTCAGTTGTTCAAATTATCCGTAATAACGCGCCTGTAGTCACTCTCTTCATTTTGTATCCGGTGTTTTGCTGTAACGTCATGCAGCCGTCACCTCTGTTCCACTCAGGAGCCGATGCTGCAACACACAGCCTCTGCATGTGAGGACAGCGCGTGCTGTGAAAATGTCATTAAAAGACAAACTTAGCAGAGCTTTCCTGAAACACGTAGAGCCGTTTTTCTATTCGCTATCTAAAACATCGAGCAACGTTCACTCAGGGGTTTATACAGTTTGTGGTGGCGTTTAGCTGTAAAGTTACCGGTGTTATGCCGAGTTTTGCCTGCCTGCCGAGAATTGCGTGCACCTCCAAATACTGCTTTTAAACTCTATAATATTCTTTATGGGCTTCATCAATGGTGATAAATGATTCGAAGTATATATTTTATCTCTTCAGAGTCTTTAATATTTTAATACACTTAGTAGAAGTACCATTCCTTGACATTCAGTAAATATATGTGGTGATAATGCTGTTTGATCAATGAGCACAGCAAAGTGTCTGAGAAGGACCCAAAGAGGTGGATGCATAATTTGGCAGATCAAATTGTGTAGACTACCTGCCGAGATTTGCATCCACCTCTTTTCTCAGCATCAATGACCGTTATCACCCATGAGGTGCGTGCAGTTCTCGGCAGCCAGACAGAATTCGGCACAACACCGGCGGCCTCCAAAATTATGAGACACAGTTGAATCGACGTTTCTCTAAAACCCTTTACACCAGGGGTTTTAAAAAGTATGAGACTGTGGGCCTCCCCTTAGACAAAGCTTGGGAAAGGCGCCCCCCCCTTAGTTTACTTTGTTTACTTGCTCAGTTTCTCAATAACCTATGGGATCATGGTCATGTTGTTTGATCCCTAAACACTCAACAGTTGAGCCAAGATAGCCTAATATGGCTGTTTGACATAACTTCGGACCTCAGCAAATACATGGAAATGGTCTGTTGTAAGGCATTTACTAGTGTGACTGACTCCGATAAAGGACCAAAACAATTGTATTTCTGAACTCTTTCCACTCATAGTGATCTCCTTTTGATAACGGTATATAAATGAGCGGTAATAATGTCATAACACTCCTAGTAGTTCAGGCATGAAGACATTAGTTGAGTCAAAAGTAGGAGTCAAAGCAAACAAAACGTTTGTGCTGGAGAACATGACATGTTCTGTTTGTTTTTCAGAGGAGATGAGGGAGTACTTTGGACAGTTTGGCCCAGTGAAGAAGTGCCTTCTACCATTTGTAAGTTGTCCCAGCATTAGGATGACTGAATGACTTGTATATTTTTTTTGAGGGTGCTCTTCCTTCCAGCAGCCATTGAGTTCCTTTTTTTCCAGTATGGTGCAAACATTAACATACAGAGACTTAAAACTCTTTGAGTTATCCATCCCAGTGAACACCATGTTTGGTTTTACACCTGCAAACTCTTGCAGGAGTTGCGTGTGTGTGTTTGACTGTGTGCTGTGTGTTCATCAGGATAAAGAAACAGGCTTCCACAGAGGCTTCTGCTGGATCGGATTCTCAACAGAGGAAGGACTGAACAATGCACTTCAGAAGGACCCACACATGCTGGAGGGAGCCAAGGTAAAAGTAACATTCTCTCTATCACTAAGCACACGACCTTGTGGGCATTGAAGTCTTCATTAACACAACAAAAACTTTAGATTGCTGGGGTTCTTTAAAACATAATGCCTTAAATACCCAACCAGGGTCAGGGTGTGTGCTTGCTATGTCAGGTTCATGTCACTCTGACCTGCAGCTTGAACATTTCATTTTTTTTAAATAACATTAGGCCAGACCTGGAAATATATAACTGATTCTGCTGTTTGTTTTTCAGCTCCAGGTTCAGAGGAACAGGCGTCCGTTTGCGGGGCAGAAGTCAAACAAAGATAGTGAATATGACTGAAGCTCTGTGGTTCTGCCGTGTGGATGAGACGGACAGAGATGCGCTATAGTCATTCTCAGGCCCAGATTCACTAAGACCGCGTTTTCTTCTTCCTGCCTCAGCTGCTTCATGTGAAACTTTTGCACTTCTGTTTGGGCCATAACGAACACTTCGATCAGTACACAGCGATGGTGTGTATTACCAGAGAGCGTTCCTCGTACACCGTCGGTGAATTTGGGCCTGAGCGTTACGGACACTGTCTCAATGGGTTGTCCAGTAGTAATGTCTTTATTTATTGTCAGTGATAGTGTTGTACTTCCTGTAACCATCCTGTCCCACACCATCTACAGTACATACTTTAATGCTAACATGAAAGGTTTATGAAACATTCACACATTTCCAGTGTATGGCAATAAAAACAGTGTTTAAGACTTGTGTGTTATGCTGTATGAACACGTTCTCCACCACTGCTTTAGCCAATCAAGCCAAACAATGGGTTATAGCTGATTTGTGCTGGTTAAACCACCAGCAGACAAACAGGCTCTTTAATGGGTGTTGAGGTGAATTTTGAAGAAACTCATATTTTCTCTAACATCGGCTCTTATTAATCTTATGGTTCCTTAAAAATGACTCAACATGTTCAATAAAAGGTCATCTTATTACTCCTCTGGTGAAGCTTTTGATAAAGCAAGTCACAGATGTATAACAGCAATGCATTTGTTTCTGTGGCTTAATTGGATCTTAGTTGGCTTTCTTCTTTTTGACTTCTTGACATTGTGAATCTTTCCTTTGAGGTCAGACACTTGAGGAAAACTGCAAAGAAAGGAAGCTGTATGCACACTTTTTTGTTTAATCCTAAATCCTGATTTTAAGTCATGTTTTCCATTTCTTTCTTTTATCACACGTTGTTATCATAGACTGTATATAAAAAGGTTATCCAGCCTTTTAGTGTCTGTTTTGGTGGACAGCTGACCACCGCGTGTGACGCGTGTGGAAAAACGTCATCATGGTGGGCCGAAGTGTAGTTGCCGTCTATCATAAGCAACGACAGTCAACCCGAACATTCTCGCACTGACGCACACACACAGACTTATTGAGATGGAAACATAAAGGTAATCTTTAAATCGGAGCATCGGGTGAGTCCGGTTGCAAATTTAAATTTTGTTGCCGCCTTCATCTCCAGCAATACTACATTAACCAGAATTCTTCGCGCTGACGTCGAAAACTCGCTAAAAAGGTCGAAGAAAACCCGGTAACAGTCAGACAACGCGTGTGGAAACCGAAGACACTAATTAAGGTAGGTAACATTAGTGGTTCCACGTGTCCTTTTCGACAGCTGAGGGTTCCGTGCGGGTTTCTGTGGCAGGTGTTTGTCCGCTTAAACACGCGACCCGTCTTTGCATAACAGACGCATGAGGCGTTTAGGTAACGTTAACTAAACCGCCGCGTAACGTCACTCCACATTAATGTGCTCTTTTACAAACGAGCTTTGACTTGAGACGCCTCCAAACCACAGACTCTAAACTCGAACCAAGACCCAACAATCGGTGAACACGTAAATCTTCCCGGTTTCGCACATTCGGTTGTGCGCGAACACAGTTTGTGGGAGAGACCGGAGAACTTCTTGCTTTGACAGTAAATGACTGCCTCTAGCTCTTTTGGGCGAATGCCGAAGTGAGACGTGTGTTCTGGTGATGTCCAAAATGTTTTGTGTGCAATTTAAATACACCCAAGTGTGACGGCACAAGCAAGAAGACGAAAATTTTAACTGGCAAATGTATGAATGCAACATGGTCATCTTGTTTATTAACCCGTTCGTGCATGCATTATGCCTACACCTTTTCTCACTATCTTTTATTTTGAAATTAGCATCATGCATCATTTGCATTATTATGAAATATCTGTCTTGGTGATGTTATCAGGATTCCTTCAGCTTGGGTTTGAAGCAGTGGTGATGTGTTAATTTAATCTACACGTTCCTACTTGTCACTTTGATCATGAAGGTCACACAAGTCTATGAAGTATAGCGTTCAGGCTACAATATAGAATAGAACTGAGTATTGTAGTAGGTTATATAGTTTAAAGATTATAGACCCAAGACGAAACTGTTTGAGGGGTAGGACTGAGAGAAAACCCGTTTATCTGAGCTGTGATTTTGCCCTGATGTGTATAAGGGCATCTGTGTTCTGATTCATGTTTTCAGCACATTTTCTCCTAACCTCTGTCACTTTGTGAAATAGTTGTTACTCTTCATATTCATTCCTCCTCCCACAGTGCCTCTGATGGCTGGTCGACTCCTCAGAGTCTCTCTGACCACAGCTGTGTTTGCCTCTTCTGGGTTTTACCTCTATAACAGACGGCTGGACTTCAATGACCTCAGTGTCATCCGCTCCGGACGAGCTGCAGCCACCGTGAGTTACTGCACACCTCTACCCCGAGAGTCTTGATTTGGGGATTGTGGATTTGATGCACAGTTTAGATGTTTTATGTATTTGTCTCGATGCTTTAATACTTTGTTGGACATTTTGTCAGTTTTTGCACCCAGGGGCCTGTGCCTTGAGGCTTAGTGGTAATAACTCAGGGTTTTTTTGAGGTATCATGGTCAGGCTCAGTGATCTGGGCTAGATCACCCTGATAACCTATAGAGCCCGACCAGTTTATTGTTTTGCAGATTATCGGCCGATATAAACTACTTGCAGATATATCTGCATTGGCGTTTAGAACAGCTGATATATGACTATTAAAAAGAGAAACAGAGTCGGATCCTTCCCTCATGTCATGAGTGCTGCATAGTTTGCCCACCAGAAGGTGCGCTGCAGCTCCTCGGTTAACAACACTGCAGAACCACAGAACAAAACATCAGCTGACCGCAGTCTACCAGGAGCCACTGTGAGAGCTCCTGGGAGCTCTCACACTTAGTGTTTTAAAGAAGTAACAGAGTGTTGGGATAAACTATATATATATATATATATATATATATATATATATATATATTTCTTTTTTTTTTTTTTTTTTTTTTGCCTATTCAGGAGAGAGTCCTGTTTACCATTAATTAGGGCTGGACAGTAAAACAAACGTATCAAACATGAATTTGGACCTAATTGTTTTATTAAGATGTTTATTTTGGTGAGGAAAAAGGACTGAAAAAAAGCTTTTACTGAATTTTACTCGTGCATAGTTGTTGACAAAGATTTTTATCATAAGTGTTTTGAATGTTCTACTTCAGATCGACCTCAGAAGTGACCCATGGTTTGGCCTCAGGTGTTGCCCATAAAGAAAAGTTTAAATCACAATTAACCATCAAGTTTTTCCACTTTCACTCAGAAGCAAAAATCAGCCTTTAAACTTGAAAGAAATAACGATTTGATACTTAGCGTTATAATTAACGATGAAACTTTTTATCGTTTTTAACATGTTTGGCCGTATTGTCCAGCCCTGCCATTTATATTATAGCAGTGACATGAGATTTGATATATGGTGGTAGTCGTAGTAGTATTTTGGTATTTTTTTTTTTTTTTTATAGTTTCTGTTTCGCTGGCCCCCACAATACATACACTATTTAATGTTCAATTAGTAATGGTACTCATAAGGCTACATAATTTATAACAAATCCGATATTTGTAAAATTTTTTCTGTAGTTTTATACATTTGAGTGTTATTTATTGAAACTTTAACTTATTTTGTTATTTCTCTTATTTTATTTTCTAAGTACTATTTATAACAATAAAAAAGTTTCCTTTGAAACTGCATTATGTCATGGTATCTTGGTCTGCACGAGCCTTTACAGAACTCCCTATCAGTGACGGATAGCTCTGAAACAAATGCAAGCTAGACCTGTCTTACTTTTCCCTGTTACATCAATTAAGCCCCCTAAGAATATTCTACACTCTTCTACCACTCACCAGTATCCAAAAGCACACTGCGGTCTCTGTCTTTCTATCCCACTGGATTGGCTGCAGTTTAGACTTGAAACCTGCTTTTGGAGACTGGACATCTGAGTGAACAACATTCTGTTACTGCTGTCGAAGTTATGCTGCTTTTTCTTAGTTGTATAGTTTAGCCAATCCTCCATCCTGTCACTCAACCCTTTCAAATCCATATCATCCAATTTATAACAGCTGTTACACATTATAGCTGATACTGTCATTGTTATTCCACAGTGTGTCTTTTGCTCCTTTTATGATTGTTTGTACAGTAGTTTAACTGCTAACTCGTTTTTTTTTTAACACGTCACTGCTCTGTTTGTCTGCAGACGGCGGCCATCAGCTACGACTACCTGACCGCTTTCAAACATGTGGAATATGGCACAGAGGAGTACTGGGCCCTCAAGTCCAAGGTAGATAAACACGCAGGTGTTTTCCATACAGGAGGGGATACTTGTGATGAGTCAAGCTGTGGGCAACTGAGACCTTTCACCTTGCAGTGAAAGGGGTTGATGATAAGTAGGTGTGCACAAGCCGCAGTTCTAACAGCTCACTGTGGATGTTTCTTCTTGTTCTGTTCCATCCCAAATAGCGCAAAATATGTACATATCTTGTTGTGTAGACCAATTTTTATTGAGCAAGCTCTGTTAACTCAGCGACAAACAAATCACTTTAGCTATATTTTTAAATGTAAAGCATAATAAACTGTCCGGTTTGCACTAGCATGAAATTAACACCGCTCATATACAACTGTGATATGATTGGGGAGTAATAAGCAAACAGGCAGGTATCTGAACAAAAAACAACTATAAAAGTGTTGATAGATTTTTGAGTTTTTGCAACTTGGGGCAGAGGAATCAAGCTGTAAACACAACATTGATATATCGATACCTTTTAAACTAGATATGGGGACTGAGTGTTTTAGCATATAGTTGCGTCTTTCGACAGCCAAGAAACATTGTAATTCTTTTTGAATGTGTTTGTGTTCATCTGCTGAATCAAAGTCCACCCCGCACACCCGCTGCCTTTTGGCTCTGGTTTGGTCTCCACCAACTCCTGAGAGAAATATCTGGCTCTTACGCCGCTAAATGCTCCGCTGTGCTCACCAGCGAGTCTCTGTCTGTCTGCTGTCTGGTGCTGAGCAGGTAGTGAGCACTGAAAACAGCCACCTCTGCTCCTGGGAACCAGGGGCCTGTTCTACGAAGCAGGATTTGAGCTTATCCACATAACTTCTTGGTAAACCCTGGGTTTTCAGCACCACGACGGCGGTTCAGTTCTTACCGGGGTAGATCGCCGTGGTAACTTGCTGAGCGCCTAACCTGCTCTGGAGCAGGTTGTGTTCCAGATAAGAGGGGAAGAAAAAAAAACCCCGCCTAAAAACCAATCAGCTCTCTTGGAAAATGACATCACCATCTGTGGGAGATCCCACAGACTGTTTCATAGGCTGCTTTATGTTTGCTGCTGTGATACGGAGAAACTTTTGAGTTACGAAATCATCCTACAGAGACTGACTGAAGCACTAATGCCTTTTACTTTTAAGATATGCCACACAGCTTTGAATTAGCCTGTTTTTGTATATTTTATTTGTACCCAAGTCCGTTCCACACAGCCTGTCGCAACTGTAAAAATAAATGGGTGTCATTTTTCTTATGTAAGGATGAATATTATGAGCATATAGTTTGGCAGGCCTGTTGAAATTAAGTTTAATATGATGTGTTTTTTTTAAGGTTAGTATCTTATATTATAGAGAGTGGTGATGTACCGCCCCACTTTTTGCTGTTTGGACGCAGGTAATGTGGGGGGAGTTAAAATGTTGATCTTTCGACCACTATTTGAGCAGTTTGGATATTTTGTTTCGTTGCTTTTATGAAGTTAATTTAGAGCAATGTTTGGAACATTTGAGTGTTTTAGAGAAATTAATCCAATTTTTTTCAAGATTTCTTGAAATGAGTTGGAACGACCACTTATTCAATGCCTGAGGCTTTCAGTGTCGAAACAGACCCACAGCCGAGCTGAAAGAATAAGGCTATAATTGTCACGCACGCATGACACATCTAAGAAACATATTCAAATTATAGGCTAAGCCTGTTCATTTAGGTGTTCACACTGTCTGCAATATTCTGTCATCCTGCATGTTTCAGCTGCAGCTGTGTTACTTTAGACTATATCATTATTTGTCTAATATTAGGCTATAGTTTGCTCAGTTTTTCTAAAAGATGCTGCTCTGCTGCATGTAGACTTGTCCAGGTTTGTGATTCTTCATCTGCTGCTAACACCGTCGCCTTTACGTGAACAAGCTCATGCCTGGATAGGGAAACCCTGGGTTGACTTACCGGCTTGATAACCAGCTTCTTGTGACTGTTTATCGTGATGGCGATTGTTAGGGTTAGTGAAGCCAGATGAAAAAAAGATATCATGGGTATGTTGAACTGGCTTCTTGTACAGGCCCCCAGGTTGATGAAAGTGCTGAGAGTGAACCAAAACAGTCAAGTTTCCAGCCAGAAAAATCAAAACGATGAATTAAAAGATTCTAAAAAGCTTTGAAGAGCTGAGGGGAACGGCAGAGTAGGGGATACATCTCTGTGGGTTTATCACTACAGAAGACACCTTTCAGCAGCCCCCTGCGAATCCCACGTGCGAGGTCGGGCAAACGAGAGAGAGCGAGCGGAATAACACGCCAGCGGAGAGAAACACCAGCAGCAAGTCCCAGCCCGGCAGCAAACGCGCCGCTTAGGTCACCGTGCACCTGCCAATAAAAGTCCGCCGTCCCCCCAACCACCGGAAAAAACTAAGGCCACCGGCGCCAGCCGACTTCCCCCATGCCCAGCACACCAAACCAGCAACGAGGCAAAATCAACCAGCTCAGCTGCATGCCACCGACAACCCACCCACCCGTCAAGGGCCGAGAACTCCAGGCACAAGCCCAGAACAAACCGGAGCACAGCCCGCACCCACACTGCACATCCTGAAAACTAACTATATACCTCAGTATCCAGAGGGGTCCAACGACTGGCCGACAGAGAAATGGGGAAGCATGGATCCGAGGCCAACGAAGCAAAACAGGGACGCAAACTGGTCCCTCCAAGCCAACGAGGAGATGCCTCCCCCGGACTCCAATGCACAAACTAAACGCCCAGCAGCCATCTAGAGACCCTGCCCAGGGAAAAAGCACAATGCATCAAGATGCATCGACAATCGCCCCACAATCCCACTGCAGCCCTCCAAACCGCAACCGGATCAACCCGCACAGCACCCAGAGACCCCCACCCCCAGAAGCCAGGGCACCCCGCGACCCCCCCAAAGCGCAAAGGAAGCTGTACCCCCGCCCCGAGGAAGAACAGCAGAAAGCCGTGCCGGGAAGCTCCCCGCCGCCAGCCCAGCCAGAGGCATCCCTCCCCAGAGTGCAGGCAGTGCCAGAAGCCCCCGAGGCCGATCTCTTCCCTGGACGGGGGCCCAGCCCCCCCAGTCAAGCACCCCCAAGGAGGAGCACCAAAACCTACCCCGACAACGCCGGCCATGTGATTTTCACATTTGAGATTAACCTCAAGTAGACATGAGACTGTTTTTACAACATCAGATTGCATTATTATTCACAGTCCAATCCACCAAACAGGGTCATGTTTGTAGGGGAAATCCTACTAGTAAGATAAAGGTAATAACAGTAAAAGTCAGCTGATATGCATTGAGTGATTTGTGCTGGCGTTTGTTTAAAGGCCACCGCTCAGTCAGGATCACGCAGGAGTCTCTGCTGGAAAGGTCAGAGACCACCTGCTCTGACAAAAAGTGCAAAGAAGGCTCTGCTGCACCAAGCGAGCTGCAGTGAACCCTGAAGAGCATGGTTACGCACACACACATACACACACAGACACTGTACAGCCCCTTGGGCCCTGCTGGTCAAGCCTGGCTACACATGCTGATTAGAATTAATGCATGGTGCTGATTTAATACAGAGAGGAGGCTAGCCTCCTAATTATTATGAAGTCATAGAGGTGAGGCGACAGCACAGCGGCTCCACGCTTGTTTGGAGTCTTTATGCTGCTGACTTTTCCTGCAGTGTGATTGTGTGTCTGAACAGAGGACAGGAAGGAGAAATGACAGGTGACCGACAGGGAGGACAAATCACAGACTGAAAACTGATTCCAGTTGTTTACATACGATGGATTCTGAGGTGATGCGTTACGTGTTACACTAACCATTTACATGTGTAACCAAGGACTAAGTAATAAACTGTTTAATGTATGTTTAGCTATTTGCTCTGTAGCAGCTGAACCAGTGCTGTGTAATGTGCTACAGTAATGTGAGAACCTTTCAGTAATGACTCGTGTAATTGATTAGAATTTGAAATTCAGTAATCGGCATGTTTGCTGTCTTACTGGGAGTTAGACAGTTATTAATTCATCAGTATGACTTCTGTTATCTGAATTAATCAACAAATTAAACACCAGTTTAAACAAAAAGTGAACATTAAAACCTTCATGAAGGTGGTATTTATTAAATCTGTCAGGTTAGACCACGTCATACTGCATTAGTTTGAGCTAGCTGGAGTGTAAATATCTGTACAAGCAACAGACTTAATATTCAAAGCCTTTGTGTCAGATCATGTCAGCGTTCTGTGACCTCCAACTGTATGTTTGTTTGTTCTCACAAGGGGAACATTTGACTGCACAGTTAATGAGCTCTTGTTTCTGCATTTCATCTTCCTCGTCGTCCCGTTAGCGTGTCACCCTGTGTTCATCTCTCAGTGGAGCAGCAGTGCTGCTTTCAGCCTCTCAAGAAGAGCTTCACTCAAAAGCCACTTAAGCAGGCAGTCTTCCAAGCTCATCAAAGGCCGCCCCGAGTGAACCGAGGGGCCATTCACAGCCAATTAGAGAGTGGAGGAACATGCCCCGCAATGAGAGAACAGATGGACTTCTTTTTAGAGCCCGACCAATATGGGATTTTTGAGAAATAGACCGATTTTGATATTTGAGGATTCAGCCGATATATTTTTTTTCTTCTATTTATCTTGAGGTAATCCCTCATCAAGATAACATGACATAATGCAGTATAAAAATAAGGTTTTGTTACTGTCATAAATAGTACTTTGAATAAATGTACAGCTGATTATGTCAGCTGTGTGTTGTGGTGGATTTGTGGTGCTCCAAACGTGTGTTGCCAACAGGGGGGGGTTCAGAGTGCCCTCTGGTGGACAAACTATGCAATGACAACACTCATAACATGATTGAAAGATCCGTGTTCCCCCTCTTTTTTTTTTTTAATTGTCATTTATCAGCTGTTATAAACCGATTTATCTACAATTAGCTCATATCTGCTGATAATATCAGCACAGCGATTTATTAGTTGGCTCTTTTTATTTTTGTCTTTTTTTCAGCTAGATAAGTTCTGCTTTGATTTCCCTCAACCTCAGGAACAT